ATCAGGACCAGGAGGTTTGCCAGAATCTGCAGAACTAATTGATGATCAGGATAAAACAGGAGCATTCAGAGAAGAAAAAGTCATTGCAGAGAAGCTAAATGAGTTCTTTGCATTGTTTCATGCCCACTGCGAAAGCAACTGGGGAGATCTCAATGCTTCAGCCTTCTCCAGGGAAGACTCATCAGAGGATCAGTCCAAAACCGAAGTGATCGCAACCAATTTTAAGGAACAAATTGACAAAACAAACTAACAAATCACCAGGACTGTATAATCACCCAACAGTTCTAAAAGAACTAATTAATTAAATAGCTTAATTACTAACAGTCATGTGCAACCTCTCAAAACTGCCTTGATGCCTAAAGACTGCAAGGGTAACAAACACGAAAAGGATCCAAGTGAAATTCAAGTCTGGTTTCTGTACCAGATAAATTAGAAGAGACCATAAAAAAGAACAATAAAATTAGTGGACAGTCGGATAAACACAATCAGCTTTAAGACTCGTAAGTTCTGACTTACCCAATTCTTGAGTTCTTTGAGGGGATAAACAAACATGCATAAAGACGACCTATCTGATATCACCCATGTGGCTTTCCAGGAGACTTTTGACAAAGTCACTCACCAAAATCCTAGTGAAACTAAGCAGTCATGCTGTAAGGGAGAATGTCCTGGTATAGATAAATGATTAGAGGATGGAAAACAGAGTAAATTAGCAGTTCCTGCAATGGTGGAAGATGACCAGTGGAATTCCACAGGGTTCTGTGCTGGGACCTATTGTGTTCAACTTGTCCAAGAACAACACGGAAAAGTGCGTGACAGCAGTGATGTGGGAGAGTTTGCTGATGACACTAAGATATTCAAAGTAGCAAAGATGAAGGCTGACTGAAGAGCAGAAAAAGGATTTGTAGTCAACCGGTAATAAAATAGCAGGTGAAATTTAAATGCAGATAAACATGAAATGATGCATGTGAAAAAACACAGAATCGACATACCTTCACGTATAAAATTGCAGCCTTTGAACCAACCATAACCACCTGGAGAGCAATCTTGGGGTTAATGACAGATTCCTCATGGGGGTTTAATGCTCACAAGAGGTCAAGAAAATGAATAAAATATTGGGAATTACTGGGAAATAAACTTACGCAGGCATGCAAATCTATGATATGGCCACATCTTAACTGCCATGTTCTGGTTTCCTCATCTCAAAAAAAAGATACAGGAATCAGGATTGTAAAACATTCTGAGAAAAGCAACACGGAGGCACAGTGGTATGGAATAGCCTCTATATTAAAAAGGACTAAGTAAGCAAGGACTCTTCAGCCTGTAAAAGAGGTAATTCGAAGAGGATATGATAAGGGTCTAGAAAGTCAGGGGTGGTGTGAAATGAATGACAGGATTAAATATTCACCGACTTTTCAATACAAGAACCAGAGGGTATCAAATAAAGATAGTAAAGGCCAAATTCAAAACAAGCAAAAGGAATTATTTGTGCAATGTGTAGTTGCTATGGCAACTCCTTGCCAACAGATGTTTAAATTGTTAGAAGTTTAAGTGGGGTAGAGGGGATACTGTAGAATTTCATGGAGAAGAAGTCAACTGAGGCTTATTTCATATGCAGAGAACCACAGCTGGCTGAGGAAGTTTCCGAACTGGAAAGAGCTGGAGGTTTGGTAAGTATACACAGGAAGTATCATATATGCTTGCTCTGTTTTTACTGTTCTCTAGGCATCTGATTTTCACCACTGCCAAGTATGGATAGTAGGCTGGATGAACCCTTCATGTGACCCAGTGTGATTATTCTTTTGCTAAATAGGCAATTGCTGCATCCAGTGATGTCAGATACTTAACAAATGTTTCCTAATTAAAAAAGTAGGCTACACTAAAGTATAAAGGGACTTTTCCATACAACAGGCACAAGATTTCTTCTATGCAAAATTTAGTATCACACCCTGTGTTTGTGCATTTAGGACTGAAAATAGACTCCTAACTGTACACTAATAAAAGATTACACGGAAGCTGGCAGGGCCCCAAAAGGTCACCTAAGCTCAGGTAGTGTCTGACTTACTGACAGAAGCTACTGCCCCATTTAGGCAATCTCTCTGTTCCAAAAGCGTGGCCTCCTTGTGGCTTATGACATTAACAACAGCCTGAGAAAGTCATCCTTTATACAGCTTACCTGAAAAGCTTAGAGATGATAATGATCTGGGAAAGGGGAACAGCATCTTGTTAAAAGATTTTTGGAGAGGGCAAAAGTCTATAATGCTGACTAGAAACAGAAGCATGCAAAGCTCATCCTGCAAGACAGAGGCTCTACAAGAACACTTCTGACAGCTTTCACAGCATATGGCAGCCACCAAGGATTTTTTTGTTACTCCACAGAAGTAAGCTCCAAAATCAACCACAAGTGAAGTCCAACAGAACATGTACTTCAGATGCGTAGAAAAGCACTGCTGAATTCCCCAGTCCTACCTTGCAGATCCAGCTTTTCCAATCTTCTGTACTCCTCTCCTTACCTAAGACTATGACACATGGAATTTAGCAAGTCTTGCCAACTAACTTTCCCCAAAGTTAGACAGTTAAATTTTCTTTCTCAGACAGTTAAATTACTACCGTCCCATTCCTTCTGACTCTTTTACCCAAGAGAAAAAATGAGCTGAGAAAAAAAAGAAGAGAGCTGAAACTGCAGTGTGGTGAGAAGAACAGAAACTATTTGGGTGGCAGCTGTGGAATTCAGTGTGTGGTGTGGGAGCAAGTCATTAATCCTATTTCCAGTGCTCACATTTTTATTTTCACAATATTTAATGCTTATTTTTAAAGTCACAGTTATGAAAGCACTTGAGAAAGTCTGAATGCTAGTTTTCTTTTTTTTTTCCCCCCAGTATGTTTCTAGCTTCCATGATTGCCAGTAAAAAAAAACTGATCCCACAAACTTTGCAACCTGAAAATTTAGAAAACACACACACTTCCTTTCTTAACATATCAGTTCTTAGTCCCGAGGATTTTTAATGCTTTGTGTTAATAATACTGATTTATCCTCCTCTTTGCTTCTTCCCATAGCAGACAATTTTACTCACACTGCTGTTACTTGTTTTCTTTTCAACACATACCAACTCACACTATAACTCACTAGCTGTCAGCATTTTAAAAGAAAGATTACCAGTGCCAACTACACCTCAGGAAAAACATTTGCACTCCTCACAGCTCAAGTGTTTATTATATACTACAGAAAAAGTGATGCATGACATTATCTATGTCCCTCTTCTTGTTTCTGCAGGGCTTCACTAAGCTGACAACTGACAGTTGCATGCTTGCTTAAAAACTGCAATAAGAAATAATTATTCTGAAGACGCTGCATATATAATCATCACAACATAATAACTAAGTTTTTTTAATACACAAGCTATTTCTTTACTAATTTGTGTTTTGATAAAACAAGTGACAGTTTAACACAAAAAGCTATGCTAATCTAGTGAAGAAAGATATATTTTAGGACCACTTAATTAAGTAGACAACTGAGAAGCTAAATTCTGAACACTACCTGACAACAAACAATTTGAATTTATATATAAGCCTACAATTCATTATGACACAAAGCTATTATCTCAGGAGCCTAGAAAAGTTCCCCTTAAAATTACAGGTGAAGATTGAGAGGAAGACGTTACTCAATTTAAGTTCTTTATTCCCAGTCATTTGTTGAGTTTTTAATACAGTGCTCACAAGGAAAAATAACTAAAAAACTAGTAAAATATCATGCCTTTGATATTATTTACATAGCGTTTTACTAAAGTGTCTTTGAAGACTATACAATGCAAGAGGAGCTGAACCTAGAAATACTCAGATATGCTGCAGAAAGTTAATCAACAGAAGAATAGAAACAACTTAATCTTTTTTCCTCTTCCATGTATATTATCACCGAAAACAGGGAGGCAGGTAAACAGGAAAGGGAGAAATTATTTTTGTATTTGGCAAGAGAAAGAATAGATTGTTCAGCGTAGCCGATCTGGTTACCTTCATTAACTGCCTTTAACAATACCAGCACAAAAGACCTCCTTCCAACAATTCTCCAGGAATTACTAACCCTGGGATAAATTGTATAGGATAACTAAATGTCCTCAAAGTAGTTTAGATGCTGGAGCAGCCAAGAAAGTCCCTTACTTTTAAGAATAATCTTACTGTGATTTAATCTTCTGTATTTTGTATTATTGAACATCTGTGCTTTACATAAAAATTTTCTTCTTAAATCTTACCTGGCAATACAGCTAAGTAATTTCCCACACATGAGGCACCCCACTCTTACCAACGTGGCAATCTTTAAAACTGATCCTGCACCAAACTCCCAGAGCCTGGTGCTCCAGTAAACTTAGGAAAGATCACTATGATATAGCAGGACAATACAGCAACACCTGACCCTTGAAGTTCTAATGAAATTGGTAGCAAGTATACTCTTATAATTTTACCTTGTAATACGAGGCATTTTGACAAACTCGAAACACTTATTTCTAGGTGAATGTTCCAAATGTGGTATTCTAGGCACATGGTTTTCTCTGGTAGAGGGGAGATACATTCTGATACCTTATGCAGTTATCAAAGAACAAATTTTCCTCTGCTTTCAAATTGCTTAACTCTGGGAAATTCACACTTCTTTAGCAGGGGAGGAGGGCAGGAGAAATCCCAACAATTTCCTACTATTAAATATTCAAATAAACTACTTGCTTTAAAAAGTATTTTCTAAAACTAAGGAAAATAATTAAGTACTCAAAGGACTGTTTCTACACATGCAAAGGATAGACAAGTTAATCAACTATCTGTCCTCTGTATTGCTTTGAATTTTTAATCTACATGATTTCATTTCAATTATTTACTACTTAGAAATGCTGTCAACCATTTAAAATTTTTATTTGGTAAATGCATAAAAGTAGGTCACTAAAAACAAGCTTATACACAATAATACACAGACACATCAGAGGATTAATATACAAAAATCAAGAGATGAAAAAACTGACCTGCTGCTTCTGGTGTTTTTTTAGTAGGGCTAAAAATAAGAAGTAACATCTGGAGCAGTCTGCTAAAGCTGCACAGAAGTCATTGTAGGAAGAAAGTTTGCTACAAAGGTACAAAAATAAAATATAAATGAATGAAAGTACTTTTTTCCACAAAAGATTTTTTAAAAAAATCACTCTGCTTTTGACTCTCAGAGCCATTATTTTACAACAAATGAAATGAATGCCAATACTCTGACTTCTAGTAGAGGCTTACGCAGTTAAATAAGAGCACAACAGAAGTCTAGCTATCCTCGCCACAGTGAATTACAGGAAGAAGCGAACATAAGGAGCTTCCCAACCTGCTTGCCATATGGGCACAGTATGCTAACACTAGCACTTCTTAGCGTTAAATGGAAGAACTGTAATTTCAAGATGACATGGGAAGTCAGACAGGAGAGGAAATAAAGGGTCCCTTCCTAATGCACGTCTAGTAGAGCCCAGCAACAGCATTAATAGAACACGTCTCTCACCAGCAAATATGGAGAACGCACCTTCTTGCAGTCACGATTTTATCTCTGCATATTCCCTAACAGCTGCTCCGGTCCTACACTGCTCACCTTGACCATTACAAAAATAGAGAATTGGACATGCTTTGGTCATACCAGAAATACTGCATTAACAGAACAAACTAGGATAACCTCTTACTTCCCACGTAGTCAAAACCAGCAAATATCTGTGTTGATGTTCAATTACAACCAATTACAGCAAGACTTACAGACTTAGAGAAATGAATAATCCGAATAGACTGAACATGTTCTCTACAAAGAAGCTGCCTAAAGTTACTGACTGAGAGAAAAGAATAATCATTCTGTATTACTAGAAGACAAAACAAAATTCAAATCTGTGCTCTGTACTGCATAATATAATTTTTTTTTTTTGTGACTGCAATTTCCAGAAAGCTAATTAAATTGATTTTATGGCTAATTCGTATCCTTGGAGCATGCAGTTCACTAAACTTCAGAAAAAAAATTGAAGCAGTAGGAAACTTTAAATAAGACAAATTACTTTTGCTCCATATTGAATTCTAGATCAAGTAAATGTCCCTGTCAGAATTACAGTGTAAGTATTGATTACATTTAATTACAACCCATTACCCCACTTTTCATGGCATTTTCCAAGTAAAAGAAATGCTCTCTCCTTAGAAGAACTAAATATGCTCAAAGTGCTGTAATCATTGCTAGAATTCAACTCATTTTTAGGAACAAAATTAGAGAGACAGATGTGGACACGGTGGCATGGAATTGAGGAAGCAATTCACATGTAGCACAAATGGCAAAGGACCAGATTTGCCTGGTTTTAGCTGTGGAGAGGAAGGAAAGACAGTCCCTTATGTAGCTGCTCTTCAAAGCACAACCCGATCGCATCTAGCAAGGAGAATGTGATGGACAATTTGGAGGGGTTGAACAGGAAGAGAAATCCATAGCAGAATGACTTCTCAATGAACATGGAGCCATGACTCACTCAACATGACTCAATACAATAATAAAGCAGCAATGGCAAAGACTTCATCCAGAATGGCATTCATAAATGGTGCTTATAACCCAACTCCTCCTGAAATTACCAACAGTTAATTTCACAACTTCTTCAAAATCCTTAAATTGTTTGCAAGTCCGTTTAGCATTGGATATTGCAAGCTGGTGCTTGGTAACTGGAAGATTTTTGACTGAGAAACTATTCAGACTACAAAAGGATCTTTTTAGCTGATTCACTCATACTGATCTCCCTCTAAAAAGCACATCTTCGGAAGCAGCCACTGAGCTGCTCATAAAACTGAGATTCTTTCAGCGCTTCCATCTGTGCAGTCAAGTCCTGATCCCACAGATTAATCTCCTCAAACACTGTGACAGCTCAAAACAATGAACACTGATCACATTTTCTCTCTTTTGTATTTTATTTTACAATACACAGTCCCTAATATAACTTAAGCTTGTGTAATTTCTCTCATTCATTTTTTTAAAACATGGCCTAAAACAGGATTAACGAATACTTAATAATTTATGCAGCTTTAAAATATAAGAAATGGTACTTTAAAAATCTCAGTCAGAATCTGTGGGATCAAAGAATGACACGATACAACAAAACATTTTTCACAGGACGATGAATCCAAGTTTGTATGGCTACAATCAAACAATTCTATCAGTATTAATAAAGACACAATTATCATACAAAAACATTAAAAACAACACAGAGCTTTTAAAAAAACAATTCAATGTAAATCTTGATTGTTCCCTCTATGAGGTCACTTGAAGCAGTAACACTGACTTGACTGCATGTTGAAATGGCATTGTGTTCTATACATACCTGAATATCCTGACAACATAGGTGCATACATCCTTATCATTCACACGCTGCTCTAGCGCCACAGAGAGCTCAGAGACTGCGCCACTGCAAATGAGTTGGCGTCTTGCCGAAGGTAAGTCAGCCAAGTTTCGCAAAGTAGCTGTCAGCTGCATATAGAATATTTAAAGATTTATTAATCACAGCCCTTTACAACAGAATGCACACTGTTCTGAAAATTTAATACAGTTCAGATCTCATTTATAACGTCTAAGGCAGTCTGAATGTCCTGTTAATGTTCTGCAGGTAAGTATCTACCAATAAATTATAACAGGAAATGTGTAAGTAACAAAATTGTGTATATTGAAATAATTGTTTGAAAATGAAAGATTGATGCTGGTCTTTGCCTGCATGTAACCTCCTCCTTTGAGGGAAACACGAGCCTTCATATGTTTTAAAATCTTCTATGCATGTATACAACCATATACCAACTGGAAATTAGATGAAATGCTGTGTATATTAAAGTGATTGTTTGCATAATGTCTGATTTTGCAAATTTACATTTAAGTCTTGCAAATTAATACTGACATATAATATATATTTTGATAATAACTGTAAGTTGCAAACTAAGATGAATTTATTTTAAAAGACAATAAAATGTATTTTGATTAAAAATTTAGAAGTTAATCAAGATGAAGAGAAATCCACTATTCAAACAGTATAAAAATGAAAAGCTTAAGTCCTCGAGTTTATTTTGGAGAAACCAAAATATTTTCAGAAGATACTGTTCTATTTCAAGGAGTTTTAAACACAAAATGTCTATCACTTGTAGATATGCAAAAAGAATCAGCTATTGCATATTTTGAAATGCTCTGGTTCTCTTCCAAGATAAGGATATTCAAATGTCAAGGTCAAATAGGCAATGACATGTAAGTTAACTGTTGATCTAAACCAGACCTTACTATAAAATGAATGTGAAGTCATTTAATCTGATGTGAATATGGGAATTCTTCAAATTTTCCTTATTCTAAAAGTAAGGTATTTAACTTCAATTTGATTTTAAATGTAGTTTGATAAGGCACAAAGACTATCAGTTGAAATTGTTTGCAATCACAAAAAAAATCTAGAAATTAAGTATTTTATCACTGAATTGGACTGCTTGTCCAATGATATGTAATTGCTAATTTTAAAGGAAAAATCTGACAAAGAGCAGGTTAAGTTGTTCTGTTTGAGGAGCTTTTGCTTATAGGATTCTATGCAATACTCTGTCCATTCTCCAGCAGCTTTCAAATTTGCTGTCCTACTTCAACAAATTTGGCAAAAGCGTACATATCTTCAGTTACCACATGAATGAAGAATGAAAATTAAATTCAAGATGTTCTGTAATGGAACAATAGGAGAAGGAACAATGTGTCAAAATGGAGAAGCAAGGTACACAGGGAAAAAAATTATGTGATAATGTGAATGCGATACGTGAATGGATTTAACTTCAGCACTAAATATGAAATGTATACTATATTCAGAATAAACAGAAACTAAACCTATGGAAGCCATTTGCTTTTACCTCATATTTTAATACGACACCTGGTGTTTTTTGTTATTTTAACTAAACAACTGCAAAAAAAAAAAAATTCCAGATATGCATTCTTTTACAAGTCACGATGCTTCAAAAATCAACATAATACTGGAGAAATATTTTAAAATAAAAATATTCTGATCAAATACTTTGCTATTCAAAAGTTTTGGTGGAAAAATTCCTCCATTCAGCACTCACATACAAGATGTTCACAGTCATAGAATCATAGAATCATTAAG